GAGGAAGGGAGGGAGGGAGAGGAGTCTGCTATTGTGTGAGAATGTGAATTAGGTCAAATGTTTGCTTGCAACAACGACTAACCATGCCCCTGTGAGGAAGAACGCTGAAGCCCATGTGGAAGAGGCTCCGTCTTTATCCGTGGCTGCCCCTGCCTCTGACACCATGTGACACTTACCTATCTAAATCAAATCAGAATAAATATAATTTCTTGCGATCATATGATTGCCATCCTATCCGAAGTGAGATGCTGGAGAAATGGTGTGTTCACACTCAATGATAGCCCTCCACGAAGGGCTTGCGTGCGTGCGTGTCTCAGGGGAGGTTGTATGTATGTGGCTCATGATGGCACCCACTCAGCAGGCATCAATCACACACTGGGTGACGGTTCGGCTGCTGGCTGCCCGGCTCGCCGCGCCTCCGGCTCTGGCAAACTGCAGTGATGCTGGTGACAACAGGTTACAGACCACGACTCAAATGAAGCCGCCTGAGACCGAAAACCATGCAGGGTGTGAACGGGGATTATTTAGGGTGGGAGGAGAGGTGGAGGAGGGGGTTAAAAAAAAAAAAAAGAAAGGAAAAGATGCCCGTGCAGGTAGATGCTATAGGCGGTTATAGAAAATGAAAAATGTCAGGCTGATGCAGTGTGCTTTTATCGTGGTTTCATTAAGCCTGTAGCTCATTTTTCCCTCCCTTTTCTTCTCCTCTAATCATCAAAGCGTTTCCGATTAATTCCAGATCAAAGTGAGGATGGTAAAGGATGTTGTGTCCCTGAGGTCAGGTGGTAACTTACACGACAAAGCCTGTCCCCACCACCACAACCACCCCAACCCCCTGCTCCCCAATTTATGAGTGCTAGAAGGGAGGGAGACGGGGGGCTGCAAATGTTAAGGGCAGGTCTAACGTTAATGATCTTTTACGCTTTACAGTCAGAGAAAAACGCGTGATCGGAGGTTTCCTGTGCCCCTCTCTCGTCAAATCACTACTAAGTTCTCTGATGAATCCCTTAATTTCGGGGTTTAAATCACGCAAGACAGCGCAGTAACGCTGAGGTGGGTGCACACGTGTCTCTGTGTTAAATGTATGACCAGGGGAAATGAAGAAACGGCAGGTCGGGCACAAAGAAAAACAAGAAAAGCTGCACAGGCTACAGACCCTGGATGAATTAAGGATGTTGAGTACGTGTGCAGCTTATCGAGCTGAATGTATAGGCAGATATCAATGACCCCCTCCGTTCACTCTCTCCCTCCTCCCTCCAGCCTGTCACACAGCCACGGGCACAGAGCATTGCGCTATAGCATCCCTGTACTCACTCAGCTCAGAGATTTTGGGAGGCGCAGCGTCAACCCCGGTCGCTTCCTTCAGTGTCTGCTTCCCCTCGGACCGGCCGCTCCCCGCGAGCATAATCAATCAAAGGCGATAACTTGGCTTTCCTGGGCTTCACAAAACAGGAATGCACCATATTGCATGTGGCATCCTTCGAGCGCCCGCTGACCCCCTCGTGCGCCCTGTCCGTGCTCCTCTGCTCCCCAGCCAGAAGGGAGGCTGGGAAGTGTTAACCTGCCTTTCTGCTGCCGCGGCTGTATCTCCACTATTATCTCCAAGGGCCAGGTTTTTCCTCCACAGTTCCTCAAGCCCCCTCCATCTCTGCTCGCATCCCCTCGACTCAGCTACTGTGCTTCCATGTGACACAGGCAGAGCTGGAGACCCCCCAATTATGATTTTTGTCTTTTTGATTCTAGCGTCATCCCTCGGCAGGACTTGGAAGTGCAGGTGGAGGTCTACTATATGGAGTGACCCTGGTTTAGGAGAGTTTAGGAGGGTTTCTCAGTCCCCGCTGTAAAATCAAATCAACGGTTCTGTTAATTCTGATGCAGAAAAAATACAATTTGATCTGTATCAAAAAATTTGGAAAATTCAGTCAGAATTATAGACAGTGTACTGCTGAAAATGAACAAAAATAGTTTAAGGAGTAGTATTTTTGTCCTAGAAATAACTTTTCTGGGGTTGTTTAAATGGCTGATGTGTGAGGCAAGGTTTATGGTGGCCTACAGTAAAACCTTTAGTGTCAGAAAAACTGCCATGACCAATTAAAAAAAAAATTGAACCTGGACCTGAGATCACACATAAGCTTCACAGCACGATCATGACCCCTATAAGAGCCTCTAGTGTGAGATACATTTACCCTATCCACTTAGGTGAAAGCTGGAGTCAGGGCAGGTGAGATGAAATATATCACATTTCCCTAAAGTTATTTAATGTCCAATGTGATGTAATAAAGGGATATAAAAGTAGGCCAGTGATGATTTTTCACTGGTGTAGTTTGGCGTAACCTTGCCATACGCAGACCTTTGAAGCCTTTACCTCTACCACTACCACCACCTGCTGGTGTTTTCAGAGCATTGTGGAAGCGCAACCGCCTATCAGGGCGCAGTAGATGGTGTTGCTGTATGAGGGTCGATCCGTGCCACAGAGAGGACAGGTACTTTAACACTGGAAGTTCAGTAAATGTCCTGAAATAGTTCATATGTCTAATTGTTGTTTGTGTTTCATACTGGCACTAAGTATATATTCTAAACTCATCTTCCTCAAACCCTGACCAATTTGTTTTTGCAGCTTCTTTAAGCAGAGATTTTTAGAAATCTGACTGACATCCTGCTTTTGATTAGAAAAAAACATGAGTGAGTGGGGGGAATGAGAAATAACGCATCAGAGTTTATTTTACACTTTTAAAATGTGCCAGTTTTTATCTAAAACTAAGATGTATCAAGGTTAGTCTAAGTGCTATTTTACTTTAAGCTGTGTTAATATTATTTTACTATTTTAGTTATACAAACTGATTTATTACAGCATCTGCTGTGCTTCGGTTCTGGCAGAAGAACATTGATTTATAAGGAAAGGAATGAAAATTGCTTCCTGGATGAACCCAGGGGCAGTACCAGGGTTCAGTAGAAGATAAATATGGATTATTTTGAACTTTGAATCATACATATCATATTTTATGTGGGCTTGTTATGGCAATTTTTTTGTTTTTTATTCTTGGCCTCTACAAAAATGATTTTGCTTGCTTTACAGTATATTTTAGGCTACAATGTGAAGCCGTTCAGTCCTGGGAGGAAATGTAAATCCCTTTGGAGTTGTCTCAGGAACGATATTCGCTTAAAAAAAAAAAAGTCTGCCAAATCAAATATGCAGAACTACCCGCTGTGGTTCCCTCTAAGCTGAGCGAGTGAGCAATCGCGCACCGCTCACATGGTCTCCCCACACAGAAAATCTGCGCTGCACACACAAAAAAATCCAGTCTGAATTGGAATTAAAGTAAATACGTGTATTTATTTTATTTCGCTGATTTTCTGTGCGCGGAGACTGTGTCAGCAGTGCACGATTGCTCACGCGCTCAGCTTAGAGGGAACAGTTGGGGCCCTTGCTAATAAGAGAGAAGCTACAGTCAGCTTTAATACCCTGTATTTGAACATATTGCAGTGCGTATTGCATTGCTTTTTGTTTGTTTGTCTGTGGTAGAAAGTACCATTTACTTTGCTGTTGTCTGCTGGGGTTGCAGGATCAGTGCCAGAGATGCCAACAGGATCAGTAAACTAATTCAAAAGTCTGGAACCATCATTGGCCAGAATCTGGAGGCATTTGAGTCCGTGGGGGACGGGAAGTCACTGAACAAACTGCTCTCCATCATACCCACTCCATGCCCCACAACAGAGGCAGCAGAGCGCCGTCTCCCTCAGACTTATTCAACCCCGTTTCAGGAAAACGTTCCCACCTTCTTTTCAAAACCGTCAGGCATAAGATTCCCACACTTTTAGAAGCTGTTTCTCAGATTTATAGTGTGTATATTATTTATTCATACATTTTTTACTACCCTTCTGCACAATATCATCCTTACTTTGTTTTTAACTTTTCTTTAATGTAACTTCATTTTCATTTTTTTCCATTTTTCTTTGTTGTTGTTTTTTTTTTTTAAATCATTGTCACAATATAAGATACTTACTAAGCATCTGTAGTACTTTTATTTTACCTAAACATACCACAGGTACGCAAATAAATGTGCAATTGTATCACATAATCTACATATGGCATATTGTGCAGTTTACAAAGTTGAGGTTGAACCGAATTGAAAACCAACAGCAACATGAAATAAATTCAGCAGTAAAAGATGAAAACACAGTCTTTAGTTTCACTGAGCATCACAGACACTTTCTGCCAAAAAAACATAAATAAAAGTTTGGTGTGGCACTATTCACCCTTTATACATCAGCCTGCCCTCCCCCTTCTCCGTAGTTTTCGCGCAGCAGCCTCCGTGTTTTACTCGTGGAGTAAAGGTACCTATCCTCACAGAGTCTGCCACTGGGTGTGAAGCTTCACAGGTCTGGTTGTTGTGTTTGAGCGGATTAAAAAAAATCCTTATTATCCACATCCGCATCCCCACAAACACCATCATCAAACCAGCGGGGGCAGGGAGCAGAAGAAGAAGATGGGGTGCTGCTCGGCGCGATGCATGTTGATCCTCCTGTGCTGTTTGCAGCTGGTAAGAGCTTTTCGCACATGATGCTTCGACATAAACACATCTGTTTAGGCATCAGGCCAGCTGCTGTCTATCCCCTTTAATAACTCAAAGCAACCTAAAAGAAAAAAACACCAACAACAACAACAGTAAAAATGCTATTTAAAACTGCATGTTAATGACTGCTATGCTTGAATCACTTCTTTGTTGTTTATAGTGAAAGAAGTTCCGCAGCATTAAGCTTTAAGGCTTCAGTTTTTTAAGACTATATTAAATTTAAGACCATTTAAGGCAAACTGCGACCAAAAGCAGGTTTTACGCATGTTCTTTCATTCACATTAACTCAGGTTTGTCATTCAATTATACCGCAACAGTTGGTAATAAATTAAATTATAGTAAAATTTGCTAGTAAAATCTAAAAAGCAGAAACGCCTAAACGAACTGCTCTTTTATTATTTGCCGTTTTGTTTTTTGTTTTTGTTTTTTCTGTTAGCGCTTCTGTTACAGTAAAGTCAATTTATTTGGGACTTTTGTTCGGCCAGTTGAAAATGACTGCATTATGGCATTTTATAGATCAAACAATTAGCAGAATAGGCTGTAATGAAAATAGTAGGCTACTACTTGTTGACTGCAGCAAATTATTTATTTTCTGTAGCGGGCAATTTTAGTTGAAGGTGGAGAATAGCAGTGACCGCCCACCACCACAATAAAGGGCTGCTCCCACTTTGCCCTCCTCCTCTGTGTTTCCCACCCTGCCCCCTGTATGGCTCACTGGGACTGTGACCCCAGAGGACATGACACTATAAACCAGCTGTATTTCCCTGAGAATGCTTTGTCTCCCATGGCTCAGTTGCCTTGGAAACTTATAAAAAAAAACAAGGTCAAAGATCATGGTCTAACAAGCCATGGCAGCATAGGCTCAACTGACACTCACTGCTGTTTTAAAATTCATTTAAAACTCTGCCCTGCAGATTACAGCGCTGGAGAGGCAGGTGTTTGACTTTCTGGGCTACCAGTGGGCTCCCATCATGATCAACTTTTTTCACATCATCATGGTCATCCTCGGCCTGTTTGGTGCAGTCCAGTACAGATCACGCTACGTTATAATGGTAAGTCTAATACTGAGTGTTGTCTCATAAGAAACAGCTGTTTTTGGTTTGTCATAAAAAAGTTCATTCAAGCTTCCCATCAAGAAGATCAGTACTGTGAATACACAGTAGTCAGGCTCAATATAATGACTGCTAACTTTATTTAGACTTACCAGCATCTCCACAGCTACTTAAATCATATGTTATATCCGGAGTTGGCAGCAGACCATGTGAACTAGAATGGCAACCAACTTTGACAGAGGAGTCAGAAGAGTGTAAAATTATCTGTCTTATATTTCAGGGGCAATGCAGGAGGGAAAAGAGGAGAGACAAATTCTCAAGGTGCAGAAACAGGTCAATGAACTCCCCACACACTGGGGCAGCTGACTGTGAGCACACAATATCTTCAGCACAAAGGTCGCGCTTTAAAACAAGCAGCTCAAGCTGACCTCTTTTTAGTTTAAGAGACATCAGGGCTACTTTCCAAAATCTGACCTGCACATGCCCTGTCCGCTCAGTGTGCTCCTTTGTCATACTGGTTGCCACAATTGCTGCAGAAACAGTAAGATACTCTGAACCAAATAATTAAATTGTGCTAGCACTGCAGAAACATATCTGTGGTATGGTTGTTTAAGTTTTTCATTACCAAACTGTTATGAATCAGTGTAACTTACAGCTGAAGTTTATCAGGAGAGATCAGCTGAGTGGGCACATTGACATTATTGGTCTGGTCTGAACTGCTGAGGCCTCTCTATTATGCCAGTGCTGATTATATGTGAGATATATATGAGTGGCCACTTCCAGGACTGAAAAATTCAGTTTTCCAAAGGCTGATGTTCCACCAATGACCACTAGATGTTGACTCCAAAAGCAAATCAATCCCCTTTGACTTCCATATTAAAATGTTTTTATTGATGTGTTTAAAGCCTGGTACAAAAACACTAAAAACAAAAGTTAAAAAATGTCCCTATAGGT